AGAAATATCTCCGTGATGTCTCGTGAAAGCTCGAGAGGGAACCCTGAGCAGCGAAGTTGCTTCTTTTTTTCTTGAACAGGTAAGGGGATCAGTTAATTATTGTGTAGAGCGCTCTCTAAAAAACGCACAAGTATTAGTGTTGTTTACATAAATTGAGATGTCATGCCGATCCACGTCAATAGATGGCAGTGCAGCATCTTAACAGCGATACAAACCCTAGCTAAAGAACAACTGAATAACCAAAATGTCATTACTTTCTAGAATATTTCAGCTTTATTTCAATTACTGAACACATGTATTGATTGATTGATTGTAATAGTTTTGGTTAACAATAACAACCCTGGTGTCAAGAGGTTTGCTCCTGTAGTTGTTTGTTTTGCCATTTAGGTTTCATTCCCACTCTCAATCTTTTTGTATACAAATAAATTACTGTACATAGTTCCCCTCATGTTTTCCAATCAATTAGCAAATTTGTCAGTTGTGTCAAAGCACAGTGATCTGGTGGCCAGCTGACCGAAAATAAACATATTTGATATTTTAAAACGTATGTTTATCATCAATTCTTTCAATTATTTCATTATTAGGACATCAATTTTTTGGTTCTACATTTTGGTTTATGCAGAGATTTGAGAGTTTATTTTAATAAATATCAAAAATATAAAAGGTGTGCATTATAGCTAACACCTAGATGAGCACTTTATAGTTGGTTTTATGACTGTGTCATTCTCTTCAAATGCTATTGAAGTTAGAAACGTGTATGCCAATGTTGTATGTAACTTAAAAGATGGTACCTAAATTTGTGAATATCGAACGTACAGTACAACGTCAAACCAATTTTATGCCGGTCAATATTAGTGGTAAATGCTGTCACTCTATTAGTTATATATTACTTACCTGACCAGGCCTTTTGGTCATTATATGGGTATTGAGTGAGTGGGTGGGTGGGAATACATGCAAACTTGAGACCACTGTGTCAAATTTACTCAAGCTGATCATTAAACTACACCAAACTCTGACTCTAATTCAAGTCAGTTAGGCTTCTCTTGTTTGGTCAATACTGAAAACTCAGCACAAAGTTCACTGTCAAGATGTTTATTAATTTCTTGTGACATTACATCAAGAGTTCAGTACAACAGAGCACTATTGCTTCTCTTCTTTGGTTTAGAATGTTACGTGATGCTTTTCTTCCACTTGTGCAGACCCAGCAATGGTGTACATCAGATTGTGCCAGTTAATGTAATCACCAAGTTTGTATTTGGTCTTTGCCTCCATGTAGGTCTTAATCTGACGGGTGGTCAGGACTTGTCCATGCACATGCACATCTGCTATGAAACCTGTGAAGATAGAGGGTTGGAGGAACCCTCCATCATATTGGGTCTGATACTGGCCAAGTGTGATGACAGGGTTTCCTTTAAAAGATACTTTAGTGCCCACCGCCTTCTTAATGCTGGCTACTTCATTCACAAACATCTGTGCAAGACCACTGTTGGCATCCCAGGACGCACACACTGAGTTCCACTGATTCATGTTAAACGTCAACCCTTTGAATTCAACCTGGGTGTTATGAATAAACATCTGGTACTTTTTGCTGTCACCTGACCAACGTAAAGAAAAGTCTTGAGGGTGGGACGGTGTAGCCAGAGAAAAAAGACATGGGCTGGGACTCGCTTGTTCAGTGTAGAATCGCAAACACACGGTGGCTGCAGACAGATCCATGGATTCATTCGGGTGCAGCTTCACCCAGTTGTTGATGGTCAGCTCTGGGAACGTGATGACCTTCTCCCTCAAACATTTTCTGTCTTTCTCCAGCTCTATGGTTGATATAATAAGATGTTTTCAACACTTAAGGCATTAAAGACTCTTTAATGTGAAGTGACACTGGTTGAACTTAATACAGTACTATTGCTTAATAAACAAATGCAAAGGCACAAACAAAATGAAATGATGAAAGCAGTCGAAATTCTTATCTTATCAGTCTAAACCATTTTTCAGTGCTATTAATTAGATGACCTCTGTATTTTGAAAACTATATTGTTAGTATTACATTTCTAGTACTTACGGGACAACGCCAAACCGCAAAGGACAATAAAGAAAACGTACGAAGCAACTCTCTTCATGGTCCTCTTGGGTCGAGTCAGGCAGGACAGAAGTACCTGAGCATTTCACCCTGCTCCACTGTAGTGAGGACACCGCATGTCAGTGCTGATTCAGCAGTTCAGTCACATGCTAAGGAGCAGGGCTGCACTATTTGCCCCAAAAGTTATTTTGCAATTACGATTTCAACATTTCAACAATTGATAAACATTTAATCTCGTATGAAAAAGCATAATATAACTGCTGTTGAGACATCCAGGCAAAAATAATTTTCTGCTGCAAATGGAATAGTTACATGTTCCCTGTGTGTGTTCTGCCCCTGTCAACAACAACAATATTTTTTTATTATTAGCTTGTTGTTGTTGTTGTTATCATTATTATTATTATTAATAATAAAATAGAAAAATAGTAATACAGTTGTACTTTTAAATACAAAAATCATTCATGTGAAAATAAAGTGAACCTAGCACATAGTGTGTTCTCAAATGTATTACAATCGACCCAGACTCAGAGATGGAGCCATTCTGAAACCGGATCATGAGCTGCACGTGTGTAAATGAACACTCAGCGCATCAGACTACATATATATTTACTTAATTAAATCATCGTGTTTATGATTTGGTAATCACAATAAGCCATATTGCCATTTTTTTTCGATTAATTGTGCAGCCTTCAAAGCAGCTATCACTGACCTGTTGCTATCTCCTTCTTTAAACAAAATTATTGCAAATGCTTTTTAGGCTAAATTCTTCTTATACATCCTCCATGTAAAAGCAACACAATAAAGGTGAATGAGTCAACATTTTTAATCGTTTTCATAGAATACTTTTTACATTTTCACAAGCTAAGAAGAAATGTGACAGATTGTGGAAGAGTCTTGTGTTTAATTTGTAAATTCTCTGGAGCAATAAGATATGGATGTAGAGAAATATAGTTTTTTTTACAATGTGGGGTTCTTACTGTCCTGCTCCCGTCTAAAGCACATTCGCAGCAACTTTATGTTGCAACCAAAGCCAAATACAGCTGACCACCACAAAATGCCTGCGTAGAATCCATAACACACTCCAATAGCCATTATTGCATTTCCATCACTCATGCTTGGTTTTTTAGTGTTCGTACTTTTAAAGTTCCTGTACTGATTACCAGCAGAAAAAACAACATAATAAATAAACTCATAATGCAAAAATATTTTTCCCCCTTTCTTTTTGGCTTACCATGAAACAATAACATAGTGTTATAGTAAATAAATGGCTGTTGTACATTTTCTTCATTTGGGATACAGGACAGGACAGCAAATAATTACAGATGCAAGTCTTGTACTGTTTTGTACTGTAATCTCTAAACAAAAATATATGCTGTATATATAGTTACTGAGAAAAGCAATAAATCCTCATCCAATATGATAATACATTGAATAACCAGATCCCAATTCAAATATAGCAGGCTCTATAAACATAGTTCATGTAGAAGTATATATATGTTTGTGTGTGTGTGTGTGTGTGTTTTTTATGTAGCACTTAAAATGTCCCGTAAATACCATGGAGTACAACAATACATTATCGTTGTTCAAGTTGCCACATGAACCAAAGCAGCATGTCATAGACTCTTTTAACATGTACCTCTGAGGTGGTTAAACTGCACATGGCTCATAAGACTTCTGGGTATGTTTTTGAAAGAATTCTCACTGATTTCAAATAATTGTGATGCAGGATCACCGCTACTGACTCTTTCAGTAACTTTTGTATAGACATACAGTACAAAAAACTGGCTACAGTTTATAATACATACATGACTAGTTTGCATGATTCGTTTGGGTTGAAGTATGAAAATCCCTGTCAAAGCAACATCAGAAAAGCAATATACACTTAGTAGATACGCGGATGCCTGTTGGTTTAGTCTGGTGAGTGGTGATGTGCAATTTACAGATACTTATATATGTAATTGTAAAATAGAACCTTGACATATCGTCTGATTACACAAGAATCAATGCTGCTGACTGGCCTCAGTCCGTGTTTTCTCCTTTAAACTGTGACACAGGAGTTACGAAACCCCAGTTCTATTGACATATCCATCCAGTCAACCCATGACCTCAACCTCACATTCAAACAAACAGATGTACAAACAACATTACGCATTCACACATGCAGCCACACGCAAACACACCATGACAAACAAGAGTAAAATGGTCAAATAAGCTCCTTCATGTATTTTCAGACAAACTACTGTCCTGTTGGTCATCCAAAAACTCTTGATCTATCTAAACTCTCCTTTCACTTTCTACAACTAGATGTTTTGTAAATGTCTTTCGATATGTTTGACTGTTTGACCTACAGACAGTGACACATCTCAGGAATTATGTTCTATTGTGTCTCGGTCTCAATTTTGCTGTGTCTTTGTGTACCAGTGAGCAATGGATAGTGCACATATGCACAGATAAGATTCTATGCTCTCCATGCTGTGACAGGAGTCCTTATAATTTCTGGCCCTCAAAACACCAGCGGTTGTATAGACGGCACAACATCACATGACAATGCTGCAATGATTCCGAGGTTCTCTCGCATTTCTTTCACGTTTCATCTTCCGATGCAAAATCAGGAGGGAAGAGACAGAAACTCGAGTACACCAAGACCACTTTGTTTCGTTGCATTAACAACATCAACAAAAGCTCTTTAAAAAACAGAACAGTAAGAGAGAGGAAGGGAGGGACTAAGAGAGAGAAAGAGAGAGTACAGAGTACAACAGATTGACCAGGAACAGCGATCGACTTTGTACAAATTGTGACTGTCCGTGTTTTATGTTCTTAGGTGGCTACCACACCGCTACTGTGAAGATGCAGTACAAGGAGGTAGCCAGCAGGAGCAGCAGAGAGCTAAGGCCTGATAGAGACGTCTCCCGAGTGGACGAGTTCCTGGAGATGGCATTGGAGGAACTGGGGTCATTGATCTGTGGGTCCTTGGAGAAACATAACAGGCAAGAAAGAGGATGAGCATTTATTTTTATCAGCCAAAAGCTAATTAGATATGTCAGCGATTTCAGCTATTTGATTTTGACATTTTTTCCATTATGATGTTTTACCTTTAAACTTTTCTAAAAGGTATGTATATGTGCTAAGCTTTTCAAGGCTTTTAGTACACCGTAATGTGTTTTTAAAAAACTGAACTTTCATCTTGCAAACAATTGCTGATGTCCCAAAACACTATAAAAGTGTCTAAAAAAACACTTCCAGTTCATTCAGAAATAAAAATGCCACTCTGTCTAAGTTCTACCTAATATGGGTTCAGATTTCTAAGCGATTAGTAAAGCTCTTTGATTCAGAAATGACATTTTTTGCTGAAAAGAGGTCCTCATTTTTAGGGCTGTTTGGACCTGCCGCCGCAACACTAAATGTCATTCTAGCATATAATGTTGCTTTTATTATGTACAATGACATTTAGTGAACTTTAAAAGGCAGAAGATAAGCAATGTTCACATTTCGCCATCGCCCAACGCAAAGATCATGTGCACACTGGGCGAGAAGGGCCCTCTAGTGCCAGGTCAGAGTTCCGAAAGGGGCCAACGTGACATGAGATAATTATTGCTTTGTCTCTCTTTTCTTTCATTATGATTCATCCTTTCAATAGCACTTGACATATATCGGAGATATGACTGGTTTGGGATGTGCTATCAGTTTTATTCTGACATGAAAAGAAGTATGTTAGCGTACTTACCACACATAACACATCTATTGTGTTGTTTGTCTTCAGCTTCTGAGCCTAGAAAGGAAAAAGAAAGAACTCTTAAATCAACTGGATATAAATTAAATAATAACATCTTGGAGCAAGAAAACCCTTACCAAACAACATTTTACAACAATGCTGCAGGATGATCCACACCGGATAATCAATATAGCAAAATGCTCATACTGCTGTTTATAGCTGCATTATTTTAGCCGTTAATTGCATTGTATTAGTAGTGTGCTTTATAACGATATTGACAAGTTTAAAATCTATAGTGATTTTCTTTTCAGATAGTGTCAATATAACTAGAGAATTAAATATGCATGCAAGCTGATATTAATATTAATTATATTAATCATAGCAGTTCGGTTACTGCAGGATTCTCAGTTTGAGGCCACCTTGCAGGGGCGTAGCCATCATTTCAGAAGTGAGGGGGACAGAAATGTATAACCTACCAGTCAACAGTTTTTGAACAGTAAGATTTTTAATGTTTTATAAAGAAGTCTCTTCTGCTCACCAAGCCTGCATTTATTTGATCCTAAAATAGTGAAAAAATTGTAATAGTTAATCGGAATCGGAACCGGAACCGGGAATTGTTAGGCAAAACTGGAACCGGAATCGGAACCGGAAAATTTCTTACGATACCCAACCCTATTTAGAACATGAGTTCACACTGAACCCAGAGATCTCTCTCATATGGCTAAGACAGAGTGTTCAATAATTTAGCAAATATGCCCAATACTTGCATTTTGACATGCTTTTACACAAGATGAGGTATTACCATATGTCTCTTTGTTTTGAGGGCGATAATGCACATCTGGCTCTGTCATTTTACTCACACGAAAACCTACAAAGGCAAAAACCCTTTCTACCACATAACTAAAGGGGGATGCAAACAGTATGGCTGTAAACATCTCAGTTCTAAACAAGAGTGAGAGAAAAGCAGTTCGATATGCAACAGAGGCTACATTAACATGGCGTTTATATGCAGGAGTCGTCTCGCTAGTTTTCCTGGAGGTCAGCTGCGTGTGCTGCGATCATTTGTAACCGATGAAGAAAGACGGACAGACATATCCCATGAGTTCGCACTCCCCGTCTCTGTTCTTCTCCTCATTTTCACATTGACAGCTGCTCCCCCTCAGAGGACTACGTTTAACAGTGAGCCTAATACAAAAACATGTAAACTCATTAACTTCACTCTCAAAGCCACTTTCTCCTGCTGCTGCGCTGCTCTCTGTTGGAGTGTGTAGGTGTGGATGTATGTGTATGTGTGTGCATGCCCTAATGTCTGTGATTATATATTAGCCTTGTTTTAAATTAAAAGACATGCTGTATATGGTCAACTCTTAACAGTCATTGTAAATTGTATGTGTAGGGGTGTGTGGGGCTTGTCAGACTGAGACTGTCACAAGGGCTGTATCGCAGTACATTTACACTCATATCCAAAGCGAGTTGCATTGCATTCAGTGTATACATTTTATCAGTTCATGAATTTCTTGGGAATTGAATCCATAACCTTGGCATAGCTAACGCCATGCTCTACTGTTTGAGCTACAGGAATGCTGTACTTATAAGTTGTTCAGTCAAAAGTCTAATTACGCAAATAATTAGAGTCCCACGTCTTGGACTCCCCTATAATGTAGTATAGCTCTCTTATCTAAATTAAGCATATGCAACTGAACTATTCCTTTCTTAAAAACATTATTTTCGAGATCACCAGATGTATTTATTAACTCCTAACACAAGAGGACCACAAACACATCGTCTGTTTTAAAACCCTGCATTCCCTGAGGCACATACACCAAGCCCTCAATGCGTAAATAAAACTTGAAGATCTATGTCTGCAATAGTTCCAATGACCTGGAGGCTTCCGCAGAACTGGTAGAGGGAGTTAACACCAAGCCCTCAATGCGTAAATAAAACTTGAAGATCTATGTCTGCAATTGTTCCAATGACCTGGAGGCTTCCGCAGAACTGGTAGAGGGAGTTATCAGCCGGGTTGAGATGGTTGATGTGTGTGGCCGGCTCTATGGCGTTGGGTGATCTGCCTCGATCCCTGTTCCTCTGGGATGGTGTTGTCATAGAGGTGGTTGTTTGCACTGGGGGCATCGGCTGCCACACGCTCACGTCTGTCCCATTTCCAAAAGCCAGGATTGCATTACCTACGCACAAAGAGCAAAGTTGGTTTCCTACCTCATATTAAAAGAGAGATACAATGAAACATTTAAGAATTAATTTCAGGTCCAGTACATCACAGATAAACACTGTAGATAGGTTTTGCCTCCTGTCTGTTGTCAAAGTCTCAAGTTTATATTCTGAGAGATGCTTACCATAACATAAGAGTACCCAGAGATGCATGACTGTTTATTAGTGTTTCAAATATGTGTTTGACTGTAAATCAAGGCCTACTCCTGGATTTTATGTGCATACTGTATGTGAATGTGGCTCAGAATTCCCTAAATATATCAAATTCAAACTAATCAATATTTATGCTGAACTGATGGATGCTAGATAATGAAACTGAGGGCATGCAAAACTTGTCTCATAAACTGTAAATTACAGGTGGTTTCTATTTTTCTGAATATCGGAGGTCAAACCTACATCCTACATAGCTACATAATGACCATCAGCTTAATCTCTCTTTCTCTGAGATTTATAATCATTGATTTAACAGAAGGACCAGCAGTGTGTACCGTCCTGTATATGACCGAGTAATTGCAAGGACATTTATCACTAACTTATTAAACCTGACCTATCAACATAGTCAATAGATAATGTGCTGTTTGCTTTAACTGCCTGTGTGATAGACTGGAAATGATGCGTATTTGCCCAAACTCTCAGTCAGGCCCTCCCCCAACCCAGCCTTTCTAAGAAGTAGGATCTACTGCCTCATTATATGGCCCGCTGACAGGCTCTTGCTCTCTCTGCCACCTCCGCCATCTCCACTGAAACAGTACAGACTACACACTGTTCAGCACATATAGTCTGTGAAGACATGGTTTTTAAGAAAAATCCAAGAAAGTGTGGTACAGTATGTGTGTAGTTGTTTTACATTGTGAATTGTTTTTTTTTTATCAGAAACGTCTGCCCTCTCTCACAGTGCTTAGATCTGTCTGTTGCTACGCTACGTCTTAATGTTTCTTTTTCATCTCCCTCACTAACTTTACCATACTCACATGTAAATAGTTTGAACAAACACATGATGAATGTATTGTTTGCTATTTTTAGAAACTTTCTCTCCATCTCTCTAGGAAATACTGGAAAAGACCCGCAGGCTCTGAGCACTTTGATCGTTGTTTTGAGTCTATGAGCCCTGACACATTTTCTTCAGCAGATGAATCGAGTAGTTTCCTCTCATGTGCATTTCTCTCAATGAGTCAAGTTCTCTGAATCCACTCTACACTCCACCAGCTGATGTCTGGAGACCTTCATATCCACATGGTTTTATGTTTCAAAGAAAGAAAAAAATGTTCTGCAATATCAGGCTACTGTTTGCTTTTTTTTGTGATTTTTATGATGAAATGCAGACCAGCTTAAAATAAGCACGCTTTTCTGATGTAAATAACATTTGCATTTGTTTTTTTTCCGTAACACACATTTATAGTTTTGCTATAAATATGACACCATACAGTGGGGTCCAACATTCTTAAACCACTAGTAAAATCCCTTTTCCCCCCATTTTTCAAGAGCTTTTATTATACATTTATCTAACTGAATACATATTTTTTCACATTTACATTCTACACTGTTCTTTTGAATTTTCTATTTGTCAAAAAACACAGAGGAAAAAAAAAATCAGTTTTCACAAAAATGTTATGAAGAATTTTTTTTTTCCAAAATTGATGATAAGAACCATTGATAATAATTGAGTAACAATAATAAATTATTGTAACTGAGCAGCAAATCAGCATATTAGAATGATTTCTGAAGGATCATGTGACACTGAAGACTGGAGTAAATGGCTGCTGAAAACTCAGCTTGTCCACTATAGGATTTTTTTTTTTTATGTGAAATATTATTTATAATAATAATGATATTTCGCATTATTAACTTTTTTTTTTACTGTATTTCTAATCAAATAAATTTAGCATTGTTGTAAGAAAAAAAAAAAAAAAAACATTTTACAATATATTACCATCTCAATATAACTGTTTTTACTGTATTTTTGATTAAATAAATGCAGCTTTAGTGAACATACGTTCTTTATTTCAAGAACATTTTTTAAAAATTTAAAATATATACAGCATAATTTATTATTTAATCTAATTAATTTAAATCATAATATTTTTTTTTTTCAGTGTTTTAAAATCCTATAATAAAAGTTTATTTGCAGCTTTAAATTAGATTTTGAATCCCAGAATTTGGACCGCACTGTATAAATGTTTTTGGGAAACACTCTTATTACTGTACAATTATATACAACAGCTTGATTGTTGCCACCAAACTCAAGATCTAAGGATGTAAAGCTGATGTTAAGTATTTGAGGGGGGTGGGGAAAAAAAACATTCTCAACTTAATATTTTCAATAACGCTCTCACTATTTCACTTGATGCTATCTGTTCTGCTGAAGCTCAGCTCTGCTCTACACTAGCCTGTGTTGAGGACGCCGTGTTCCAAGGGCAGACAGACGCATAACGCCCAGGGGCTAGTGTAGGGTTTGAGGCCAAAGCACTTCGTCATAGCCTCCTAAACACCCAGATACTGATGGCGCTGGGAACGAACCCCCAGAACTGTCAGGATGCCTTAACACAGAAATCCCGTAATGAGACACGAGAGAATGCGGTAATGAGAAGGAGAGAGAGAAAGTGAGAGAGAGAGAGTAAGAAAGAAAGATAGAACAATAAAGAAGCAGTTTAACCCAGTTTAACCTCCTGAAGAGTCTCCTTCAACATCCCCTCAAAGCCCTCGGCACTAAAAGAAACAAATCAAATTAAGCTCAGACTGTTCACAGATATACTCATCCTACAGTGCATCCACCCTGCCCTTTCTTTTGAAGATCTGAACATTGAAATCTATTTCTTTTACTGCAGTGGTTTAGAGAAAGATTTTGACAGGTCACTATTCTCTTACTTCTCTTAATCACATTTTTGCCTTCACTAATTCACTGTAAATGGTCTTGACGTGAACGTTTGTGGTCTGCATAAAAGTCGAATATTCCATGTAGACTTTCAAGTTGGAAAATTAACAGACACAGTGTCTGAATGCAGAATTTTACCAGCTACTCATAATTTTAAACAGCCATTTTCAAGTAACAAGTAACAACTGCTGCACAACTAGGAAAATAAGGAAACAGGAAAATACTATGTAGTTTTAGATGATATTTAGATTTTTTTTTGTTACAGCTTAGTGCGATTATCAAATCGCAAAAGCTGTCATTTAATTAAATACATGTTATGCATGAATTTTTCTTAAATGTTTTTATTTAGTCATTTTTATATTTCCATTTAATAATTCTTCTCTTTTTCTTCTTCTTCATCATCATAGCCATATTGATATACTGTATAAGCACAACATTTTGGCCAAATTGTGCAGGCGTTACAAACAAGCACAGTTTCAAAATGCAATTTTTATTAGAAGAATTATAATCATATTTTTCTCCAAATTGTGCATTCCTACTGTTAGCAGGTCCGACTGTTAGCAGTGAACTGAGGACTGGGCTGTTACAAATGGGGCATGATGATCGGCATGACCTTCTTCTTCTGTGAACTATATCTTACAGTGGCCGAGAAGTGCAAAGCAAATCACAATTCTGAAAACAAAATAACAAATTACAAATGCAAATGCAAGTCTAAAAAACAAAATAGCAATTCAGAAAGCACAACAACAATTCAGAAAACATTATAACAAGTCAGAAAACACAATGTTGTGATTTGCTTTGCACTTCTCGGCCACCGTAATATCACCACAAGAAACTTAGTTCAAGTGCTGTGTATTGAGGTTTGAGTAGTGGCATTCATCTTGACCCTGCTTTCTAAACTGACCCCTGCATGGATCTCTGTCAGTACTATACATTTTTTTGTAGCACTCCCAGGACTTTCACAAGCTCTCCCTGAAAGCTTGCTTTTTGCTATTACCACTTAGGCTGTTTTCATGCCATTCTACGAGTACACGGGAACAAAACGAAACACTTGGTGCAGTCAAGGAAGTGTAGCGAGCAAAAGATATACAGGGAAAAGGGTAAGAGAAAGAAGTGTAAATAATAGGAAGATGGAAGAGGCTTTTTAGAGGCAGAGGTAAAAACAGGCTGACAGTTGGACAGCTAAAAGCCTCAGAAAACAACTTGCTGGAGTCTGAAGAGATGGACAGAGCAAACCAGATAAGAGTGAGAATGAGACAAATGGACAGGGAAATGGCACGGATGGAGGCACAGAGTTTAAAGAAAGAGAAAACAAGACAGAAAAAAAGGTAACAAGATATGAGGAGTGTTTGATTGACTTATTACTCACATCTTTACGTCTATTTTTATGTAATTTACTAGAGGTGGGTGAAATGAAGCTGGCTCTTTTTAAATAGCCATGAGTTTCCCAAAGAGTTTGTCATAAGACTATAGCACTCAAGTATGAAACCATTAAGTCAGCAATAGGGATGCAACTGTATGAAAATTTCTTATCACGATTATAGTGACCAAAATTATCACGGTTATCAGTATTATCATGGTATTGTTAAAATTTGCTGGAGATGTTGTCCATTTTTGGCCAGACAGAAACTGCACACAGGCTGAATGTAAATATAAGTCTCTGTAAATCCACTCGCTGACAGCAGGTGGCGCTTATGGAAAAGCTGAACTAGAGCTGTTTCCCGTAAACTCCATGGACAAAGCAGTATTGCGATTAAGAACACTTCTTTAGGTATTACATGGAGCGAAGATGAAAACAAAATGCCATCGAAGACAGTCAAAACATTTAAAGAAAGAGAAAACAAGACAGAAAAAAAGGTAACAAGATATGAGGAGTGTTTGATTGACTTATTACTCACATCTTTACGTCCATTTTTATGTAATTTACTAGTGGTGGGTGAAATGAAGCTGGCTCTTTTTAAATAGCCATGAGTTTCCCAAAGAGTTTGTCATAAGACTATAGCACTCAAGTATGAAACCATTAAGTCAGCAATAGGGATGCAACTGTATGAAAATTTCTTATCACGATTATAGTGACCAAAATTATCACGGTCGGAACCTTCAGAGGTACATTTATATAATTAATTCATTCATATATTCATTTGTATTATTCCCTTAGCACTCTTTTAAAACCTCCCAGCTTTTCCGCCCTGTTTTCACTCAAAACGAAACTACTCTGCGTGCTGTGCGCACGTGAGACTGTTACTTAAAACTGTGCTTTATGCTGGACAGTATTTATTTATCGTGAGTTGTTCAAATCACGGTAATCTAATACGGTTTTACTGATAATTAAAATATGAAACGGTAATACTAACTTTCGGGAATTTTATCATGATTTATCGTCAAACCGGTAATCGTTACATCCCTAGTCAGCAAAGTTAGAAAACATAGTTTCTCATTTAAACTTCAGTTGGAAAATGCCATTAGAGTTGGGAAGTTTGATTAATTTTTGTGAAACACTTTAAAATGGAACATTTTAATACATTGATTCCAAACTTCAAAATTTGGCATCATCACTCAAAAATGTTCACAAAGCTCTCCTATTTTGGCATTTTACATGCTTTAAAATGTTTTAGTAAAAATATTTGTAGGCAAATGTTATTGTTTATAACTATATATTAGTATGAATAAATTCATAAATATAAATATAATATACATAGGGCTGGGTATCGAGTTCGATACTTTTTAGGCACTGACTTTTTAGGGTTC